ATTCTTGGTAATAAGAACCATAAAACACGCTGAACACTGAAGAGAGAAAAGATGGGGGGGCACCACAAAGGGTGGCCTATTAATAGCTCTCTTCCTCCACCTGGTCTGCCTCCACTCCCCTTGTGGTGGTTGCTGGGGAGGGACATTTTCTCCCTTCCAGGTGAGCTGAAGGCAGGTGGCAGAGGCGGCCAGCCAGCTCCCTCACAAGGGCACCAAGGAGTAGGGAGCCATGCTAAGACTCTCCTCTTGCCCAGTCTCTCTTCTTGTCCTCCACTGAACCATGGCTTGCTTTCCCCCTCCTCCTCCCCCTCCTCCTCCTCCTTGCCAAAGTACCGTATTTTTTGCTCTATAAGATGCGCCAGATCATAAGATGCACCTTGTTTTTGGAGGAGGAAAACAAGAAAAAAAATTAGTCTGACTCCCAGAAGCCACAACAGCAAGAGAGATTTGGCTTCTGGGATAGCCTCTTGCTGTTCTGGCTTGTGGGATAGCTGGGCAAAGCCTCTTCAGGGCAGAGGGATGAAGGCTCCCCCAAGAGCCGCGCTCCCTTTAAAGAGCGCGTGGAGCATGTGTGCGGCTCTTGGGGGCTTTTCCCCAAGGAGGGAGAAGGGCAGCACACATGCTCCGCGCGCTCTTTAAGGGAGCGCTGAGCAGAGCCTCCTGCCTGCATTCGCTCCATAAGACGCACACACATTTCCCCTTACTTTTTAGGAGGGAAAAAGTGCGTCTTATAGAGCGAAAAATACGGTACCACTTTTTTAAGCAAATGGAAATATTCTCTGCCTTATTGTGAATCTCAGTCAAATCTCTGGACAGTCACAAGCCTGACTAGCATATTGATGAATTTGCAATAAAGTGTTTGCACACACGCACATCTGCATGGGGTGTGTCTCCAGTTAGAAATCCAGCCTGGTCTCCCCCACCTGGCATTTCTTTCTTGTTCAACATCTGGCTATTTCCACACAAGCAACGTGGAGCTTTGGGAGACAAAGGTTTTCCAGGGCATGCGCTGCGTGCCTAAGGACTGCCTCTGCCCAGCCAGAGTCCTCCTAGTCCCGTGAGTGATTGACGACTAAGGTCATCCTCCTTCCAGAGCCGCCACTCACGTTGGGAGAAAAAGAGGCAAGTCAAACCCGGCCAGCCCCAGCCCAGCATCTGCCCCAACTGAAGCTGAGGACTGGTCAGCTGTCCACAGATCACAGCAGGGGGCTTCCAGTCACCTGTCATCAACACATGATGGATGGATTGGAGTGGACACTTCCCCCTTGCCCCCTGCGGATGCTGGCCAACTGCAGCCTCAAGGCTCCTGGTGGTGGGCTAGATCTCTCCTTTGAACTGAAATGCCTTTGTTGTTGGCAAAGGCAGCAGAAGAGGAAGGGGGATTCTCACATCAGGTACCAAAGGCAGTGGCAGGGTCTCCTGGGACCTGTTTTCATGGGATGGCAGAGGAGGCGGTGGCAGCCAGGACCCCTCAAACCTGGAGTCATCAGTGCCACAGAGGGGGGTTTGCAAAGGCCATGCGTGTGGCTGCAGCAGTGGCAGTGGGGGCCTCTTTGGTGATGGAAGGAGTTTCTGGCAGATGCTCCTGTGCTAAACCAGGTTTAGATGTTCAAAGGCCCCAAAACAAAGGACAAAGCCACCCTGTGGGCCTCAGGCTCCGAGGTTGGGGATGAGGAGAAAGCAGGATTGGGGGGGGGGGTCGGAGCAAGGGCCTCTCTAAATATAGGCCCCAGTAGGAAGAAACCTGCCTCTCGCCCCCCTCCCTCCGCCTGGCAACAGGCTGGCCCTCAAAATACCCTTGCAAATCCCAGCCATAAAAATTCCCCGTAGTAGAGCATGCCAGAGGCAGCTTCCAGAGGAGCAGCAGGCTAAATTGAGAGGCATGAGCTCAGAGCCCTCTTCTGAAAAGGCACCATAAAGGGGGCAGAAGTGTGTGTGTGTGGGGGGGGGAGAGGACCTCTGTATGGGACCAAAGTTGTTTATTTATTTATAGAAATACTTATATATTGCTATATCATAAAAATATATCACAGCCGTGAGCAGTTTACAGTAATATAAAAACATGAAACCATACAACAAAATCCATAGACCTCTGTGGAATGAAGTCTTCTTAATTGCCTGCATAGGCCTGGTGGAATAAAGTCGTCTTCAGCAGGTATTTAAAAGTTGGCACAGAAGGCACCACAAGCTTTTGCCTTTGGCCGTTGCCTGAGGTTGTTTACCCTGGCAACAAATGAGCCCCATCTCTGAGGCTCCATGCAGCGGGAGGGGGTGGGGGTGGCAGCAGACCCTCCTGCAAAGGCAGCGCCACCAGATGTGGGCACACCCATCCATGCCAGGCTCTCTCCGCCCTGTTCCCATTTCTCCACAGCATCTTCTGCAGCGTGCAGGACCCATCTGCTCCTTCTAAGGCAGACTAGCCTACAAGACGTCCCTGCTTCCTGTTGCCTTCTGTGCATGCTTTGAACATCTCTCTCACACATGCAGACACACTCCCGGATTCACCCTTTCCTTTGTAAGTGGAAGGCAGGTCCACCCTCAAAGGGCCGGGCAACATGGGGCACATCGTCAGCTTCTAGGCCAGGGGAGAGCCTCGCTGGCAGGTGGGCAGGAGGGGGGCTGGAGAAGGAAGGCACCCGGCCTTGCCCTCCCTTGCCCTCAAAGCCCAGCCTCCCACCGACAAGCGGGCTGCTGCATCAGCAAGCCCCCCCTGCACCTGCCCCTCTTCCCCACAAAGCCCCCTTTGTCCAGGTAACCTGACACCCTGAGAGCTGGGATAGAGGCAAGGGAATTTGGCTCTTGGGCATAACAAAGGCCGGGAGGGGGGAGGGGGCTGCCAGGCCTTTGCTGTCTGGCCCATTGAAATGCATGCAGACCCCTTCCTCCCACGCAGAACCCCCTCCCCCTCCTGCCATTGTGGCATCTCCAGGCATGCTCACAAGCACCTTCCTTCCCTTCCTGGGAGGGGGGAGGGAAGCGGAGGTCTCTGATATAGTCACAGAGCCCAAGGGGTAGCCATGGCAACCTGTGGGGGGGGAGGGAGAGCACCCCCCACAAGGCACATTGTGCAGAACAAGGCTATGGAGAGACCAGAACAATGTGGGCCTTGTGGGGTTGCAAAGGCAGGGAGTGGGGCAGGGGCGCAAGGGGGTGGGAACGGGAGCAGCCCCACTCACACAGGTTGCAGCTCAGGGGTCCCCATTCCAAGAGTCTCTCAGAGAGAGCTGAATGAACAGAGCTGGCCAAGGTCTGGAGTGGGACCTTCTGCACTCAAAGCAGGTGCTCAGTCACAGCGCATCATGATTCTCCCTTCCCAAAAGCGACACATCAGCAGAAGGCTGAGCCCGCCTCTCCCCAAATGGTGTGCCTGAGCCCCTTGCCAGGAGTTCCCCAGCATATAGACTGCAGAAGCCCTTAAACATGCCAACCTAAGGAGGAAATCAGGAAGAAATCTGATGCCAGCCCCGTGTCCCCTTGCCCTCCTGGGATGCAGCTGCTGGAATCGTTCTGGGTGCCCGCTTGGACTTGGGCTTCACCTCCATGCAGCACCCAGGGGGAGCAGCTGCTGACTCTGCTACAAGTTTCTCTTCTTCTTCTTCTTCTTCTTCTTCTTCTTCTTCTTCTTCAATCCATTGTAGTCAAGTAAGATTGTCTTCCATGAACACAGTCTTAACAGTGAGTCTGTAAGTGACTGTGGAGGCCAATTCTGGATCCACAGGTCCTTCCACGGTGGGGACATTGCTTTCTGGGCAGGAGTTGATCACGGTGAGGATTTGCCAAGCATGCCTTCCACTTAGCACATTTCTCCCTTGCTTCCTAAGTTCGAGTGTCTTCAAAGTCCATGACACCTTTGGTAAAGGCTGTTCTCCAGCTGGAGTGCTCCCAGTTTATACTACATTTTTTTAGATTTGTCTTGAGACAGTCTTTAAACCTTTTTTGTTGACCACCGGTATTACACTTTCCATTTTTAAGTTCAGAATAGAGTAGTTGCTTTGGAAGAAGTTAATCAGGCATCCGCACAACATGACCAGTCCAACACAGTTGATGTTGAAGAATCATTGCTTCTTTGCTTCTTCCAGTACACTGATATTAGTTTGCCTGTCTTCCCAAGTGATGTGTAAAATTATCCGGAGATACTGTTGATGGAATCTTTCGAGGAGTTGGAGATGGCGTTTATAAGTGGTCCATGTTTCACAAGCATATCCTGCCTTTGTTCTTGGACCAGGGAAGGGGCTTCTCTTCCACCAAGGCCAGGTGGGGAAGGGGACCCCAGCAGACCCCAAACCGCCAGAAGAGCCTCTGCACAGCCATCACAACAGATTCAGCCTTGGGATAAAATGGCAGGAATGCCACTTGCCTGCCACCCCCACTAGCCATGTGCCTCCCCCCACCCAACAGCCTGTCTCTCTCCCTGCCTGAGGCTTAGTTGGCATCTGCTCCCCCGGGGAGGGGGTTCAATGCCTTGCCCCAGGCTGATCCTTGGGGTGGGGTGGGAGGATCAACTGGAGGAGAGTACCTTTGAGGATGGGCAAGGGGTGCATCCTCCCCCCAGCTCTCTCACAGCTTCAGTTGGGGGGCGTTCTGGGCCAGAGGCTGCAATGGCAGCTCTTTCCATCATGAGCTTGGGTGCCAACAGGCAGCCTTGCCTGACAGACCAAAGCAAAGGGATTCATTCACCTTGGGAATGCACCAGGCTGGGAGGGTCTTGTGATGCACCAATGCCGCAGGGATTCAGGTCAAGCTGGAGCAGCCCCCCAGCCCCCATGCCACGCAGAGCAAATATTATCTGTCCTGGAACTGGTGGGGCAAAGGGTGGCCACAGCTTGGCTGGGCCAGGCCTGGCCTGCCTTTCCACTCCCCCCAGCTGCTCCCAGGCGGTGACAGGCTCTTGCTAAGTGAGGTAATAGGCAATTGATTTTGTTCCGTTTTGCAGTGGGCAGTAATAAATCACACGCCCTGTCAGAGGGTGTTTCGCACGTTCAGAGAGAGTGTGCCAGCAATTAACCAGCAGAGAGCTCAGAGAGGCAGAGGCGGCCTCGGATGCAGGAGACCGAGGCTTGGCTGTGGCTTGGCTGCGGCTTGTGGCAGGCCATTCCCATGGGCCTTGAAGGAGCCAGAGGGCGCTGACAGGGCACAGGAAGCAGTGCCTGTTTCCTAGAAAGAGAGGGGGCCACGAGAAGCGAGGCTGGCAGTGTGCCCCTGTTCGCCTCACACACAGCTGGGCCTGCTTTGAGCCCTTGGCCACCCTGGAGAGCAAGGGCCACCACTGCCTTTGGCTCACAGTGTGTGGGCGGAGCAGACTGTTTGCCAGCTTCTGCTCTGGAGCTTCTGTGACTCTTATGGGGATTGTGCAGTTGAGATTCCTGAATTGCAGGGGGTTGGATTAGATGACCTTTGGGCATGGCTTCCAACTTTACAATTCGATGGTTCTCTGATGGCCCACTCAATTGCATTTCCGGGCGCAGCCCTGCCTACCCTCCCTGCTTGGGCTTCTCAGTAGCTTGGCATGGCATGCTGTGTCAACGGAGCCCTGCGGCTGGATCAGGCCAAAGTGGGGCCATCCCGGTCAGCATCGTCTTCTGATAGGGACCACGCAGATGTCCAAGGAAAGCCTGGAAGCTGGACCTGAGCACAGCAACAGCACGCTCCTCGCTTGGCATCCCCAGCCAGGGGCCTTCAGAAGCACAGCTGCCTCCCACGGTGAAGGCAGTGAATGGCAGAGCATGACCATTTATGCTTTATGAATTTGTCCAATCCTCTCTTTCACCATCCCTGCTTCCTGTGGGAGGGAGTTCCACAGTTTAACTGCATGACCAGGTACTTTCTTTTGTCTGCTCTGAATCTTTCACTGTACAGCTTCATTGAATGCCCCATGTTGAGTATTATGAAAGTGGAAGGAAAGCTTTTCTCTCTCTTCTTTCATCTGACCTCTGACTCCCCTTGTCTTCAAACAAAGAAGCCTCATGTTGTCACCTCATGCAGGAGTTTCTTCAGCCCCTGGATCCTTCCCGGTCTATCTTTTCTGAACCTTTTCTAGCACCACAGTATCTCCTTTGAGGTGAGGCAACCGGAACCGTGCACGACATTCCAAGAGTTGTCACTCTGTGCCTTTTATTTGACACCCAGCAGGGGCAGAGTCTCTGTGGATGCTCAGCTTTGGCGTTACTGAAAGAGCAGCTTTATGGAGATGGTTAAAAGTGCCCCCATTCCTAGAGAGCACCTGGAACATGTGATGCAAAAATACAGAAAAGGGTCTCTTGAACATGTGCAGAGTGCACTAACCCTAACCCTAACCCTCACCCCACTGAATGTAGTCCCCATGCATTAGGCAACCCTGCCCCTCCCTTTATGGGACTTGAGCTCTGGCTGCTCCCCCTCCTCCAGCACGGGGTTCCCCTCACAGACAGCAGTCAGCATCAGGGGCAGAGTATGGGAGAGCGCCAACGCCTCTGAGCCGGCTCTTCTGTCGCGTGTTAGGCAGGAAGAGGCTTGCATCGCCCCAGCTGGCAGCACCTTCCTTCCCCCCACCTCATCTGCCAATGTGGGTCCTCTAGACAACTCTCCTGTGCCTTTGCTCCGAGAAGATAGTCACCCGCCTGAACTAGCAGCTAAGCGGGGTCCTTGTGGCACAGGCCCCCATCCTGGCTATGACAGGCGCGTCACTTTGAGTTAAATCAGCCCAGCAGCGGCCTGAGAGCGCTTCCACTCCCTGCGGTCACGAGATTTTCTGTGCTCCAGAGATGACATGTTCAACCCCCAAGTGCCCTTCGGAAGTGAAGATGGGAGAAATTGGTGGAACATCTTGACTCCTTGGGAATGGCTGTGGAATGGGTGGGGGGAGAACACCACCCTTGTGTAATTCAGAAAGCAGAGCAGGATCGATAGGGATGGCAGCCATTCAAGGGAGATTGGCAGCAAAGTTCTGCTTTCAACTCTCAGGCTCATCATGATTAATAATAATAATAATACTACTGCATTTTACACCTATCTAGTGTCGCTCAGGAGCTGAAGCAGAGACGCCATAACTTCATGGAAGAGAGAAGGGCTGCAAGCCGGGGCCAGGGCAGCCCCCAGGAAGAAATGCTTTTGCAGGCCCCTGCAGGCCCATGACCCTCCTTAGAACACAGCAGTCTTGGGAGAGGAGCCATAGAAGCCCCCATGCCCTTCCCTCTCCCTTCTGCATTGCACTGGGCAGCCCCATGTTGTCTCTTGTTGGCATCGCTGCCCCTCCAGAACCTTCAGCTCACAGTCTTTGGGGGAAAGTATTCTGCCACAGTGCGCCTGGGGTAACCATTTGCTAAGCCTGTAACATTGTGGTTACAGGTAGGTAGCCATGTTGGTCTGCCATAGTTGAAACAAAATAAAATAAAAAATAAAAAGGTGCTACTGGAAGGATTTTTTTTTAATTTTGCAACATTGTTCTGAGAGATGAATGCAGTTTTACCACACTTCTACATCTGATCATAAATCTTGCGCAGCAGGAAGATGGATGGGAATTTCCCCTCAACTTGGCAGGACTTTATGGGCAATTGACTTGACAGGTATCCATCCACATGTGCCAAGTAGTTGCATTGGCGAGCTTGCTGCATAGTTAACTGAACACCATCAAATGCGTTCAAGTGCATGGAATCAGCGCTTTCTGTTCATGGCCAGCAGAGGGAGCTATTGCTTCAGGAAAGCCAACAGCACCTTAGTTTGGGCTCTTCAAATGGATCTGACTGGCCTGGTTCACACAACCTAGTAAGCTGCCTTTCCTGGTAATCCATGAGCTGCTGCTAAGGCTTGCTGATGTCTACAGCTATTGCTTAGTGGAGAGAACTCCTCACCACCAGCCTGGGTTCTCCAGACCTTGGCTTAGCTCAGGGCAGCTCAGGAGGAAAGACCAGGAAGGAGCAAGGCATTTGGGGCTCTTGGGAGACCACCGTCCACAGGCAACCACAGGGCTCCCTTTCTGCTGTATTTCAATTCCTGGGTGTCTGCTGCATCCTGCCAGCTGCTGGCAGCAGGCAAGAGCTGTGTGCCTAGTCTCTAAAGGAGACTGTTTGAAAGGGGATATTGCAAGTTAAGTCACCTTGATCTTGCCTTTGATTTCCTGGGCTGCTACAGCATTGCTCTGTGTTCTCCAGCTGTGCTACTTAAGTGTAATTATTACTTGGAGAGATCTCAAAGCTCATATTGGGAGTCAGGGTTAATAATTAATTACCACTTTCTTTTAACTAACCAGACAGTGGGTTTTCTTCCGAAAGATGATAATAAATCTGTTTATATTAGTGGCTTTGATGTCCCATTGACATTCCCTGCTGTAGCAAATAGTGTGACCATGTCCTGCAGCTTAGCTGGGGAGCTGCCCCCCCCCCCATTTCATTGGGACTCTGCAAGCCCCAGGACAACATTGCCTGCAGAGACCTGATTCCTTTACCTTACGATGCCCAGGGCTGCACCTGGGGGGGGGGGGGTTGGATGAAAGTAGGTGCTCCACTCTTGAGCTGTGGGTCTTGAGTCAATGCTGCCATGCCCACCTCTGCCCCTGTGTGTGTCTGTAACAGAAGACCCTCCTCCAGCACAGGCTGCTTAACAGAAACACCACCCAAAGGTCCCTCAAACTGGACAGGGAGCGGATGGGTTCTAGTCTTCACCCCACTCTGCATTCTTGCTCCATGAATCCTCTGCTCCTGGTGACTAAAGGGAGAAGCAGCCCATGGACTTTGGGAATGGCACCTGCTGACCTTGCCCCCGAGAACCCAGGGAGCCAAGCCAGGCCCTCCTGGCAGAGCTCCAACCCAAGTGCCCTTCCTTGGTCACACCAGATTGTGACAGAAGGCTGAGGGAACTAGATAGAAGGTTGAGAAAGAGGAAGGGAAACAGGTTTGTGGGCAGTGGAGGGGGGGTCAGACTGCATGATTCCCTGAGTCCCTTTGAGTTCTTGAAGTTCTATACCCAGTGTGGGTTAGAATCTAATAGAGGAGGTTGCTGAACTGGTCACACAAGTTTCTTGGGAAGACAATGAGCTTAACTGGCCACTGAAGTGTCCTCATCCGCATCTCAAAAGAATGATCTAGGTTGCAAGATGGGACCTCAACTCATGGGTTGGCCTTTCCTCCACCCCCCTCACCTAAATGCTAGAGAGCCAGATAGATGCTTGCTCTTTTGCTGGATCCAAAGCAAGATCTGTTGGGTGTTGATGCTGTGAGCCCCTCCATCTTATGCTCAGGTTATATTTGTGTGTAAATAAAACCACATATCCAAAAGACAGCAGAGTCTCTGTTGACCTTCATTTCAAGGAAACAGAACCCTGAGTGAATGCTGCAACCCTTGGAGTCTCTCACGTGACTCGGAGGTCAGGGTGGCCTGTAATAATATCATAGGTATAAGGAAGAGTGAGGAGGAGCAGAGCGAAGCAGCCCCAGACATTTCTGTGCATGAATGAAGAGAAAGGGACTCCATCATCACTTTGGCCTGTACTGCTTATCCCTAGGCCTAGGACCCTCGTACCTAGAATCATAGAGTTGGAAGAGACCACAAGGGCCATCGAGTCCAACCCCCTGCCAAGCAGGAAACACCATCAGAGCACTCCTGACATATGGTTGTCAAGCCTCTGATTAAAGACCTCCAAAGAAGGAGACTCCACCACACTCCTTGGCAGCAAATTCCACTGTCTTACTGTCAGGAAGTTCTTCCTAATGTTTAGGTGGAATCTTCTTTCTTGTAGTTTGGATCCATTGCTCCGTGTCCGCTTCTCTGGAGCAGCAGAAAACAACCTTTCTCCCTCCTCTATGTGACATCCTTTTATATATTTGAACATGGCTATCATATCACCCCTTAACCTCCTCTTCTCCAGGCTAAACATGCCCAGCTCCCTTAGCCGTTCCTCATAAGGCATCGTTTCCAGGCCTTTGACCATTTTGGTTGCCCTCCTCTGGACACGTTCCAGTTTGTCAGTGTCCTTCTTGAACTGTGGTGCCCAGAACTGGACACAGTACTCCAGGTGAGGTCTGACCAGAGCAGAATACAGTGGCACTATGACTTCCCTTGATCTAAATGCTATACTCCTATTGATGCAGCCCAGAATTGCATTGGCTTTTTTAGCTGCCGCGTCACACTGTTGGCTCATGTCAAGTTTGTGGCCAACCAAGACTCCTAGATCCTTTTCACATGTACTGCTCTCAAGCCAGGTGTCCCCCATCTTGTATTTGTGCCTCTCATATTTTTTTTTGCCCAAGTGCAAGACTTTACATTTCTCCCTGTTAAAATTCATCTTGTTTGTTTTGGCCCAGTTCTCTAATCTGTCAAGGTTGTTTTGAAGTGTGATCCTGTCCTCTGGGGTGTTAGCCACCCCTCCCAGTTTGGTGTCATCTGCAAATTTGATTAGGATGCCCTTGAGTCCATCATCCAAGTCGTTGATAAAGATGTTGAATAAGACTGGGCCCAAGACAGAACCCTGTGGCACCCCACTAGTCACTCTTCTCCAGGATGAAGAGGAACCATTGATGAGCACCCTTTGTGTTCGGCTAGTCAGCCAGTTACAAATCCACTGAGTGGTAGCATAGTCAAGACTGCATTTTACCAGCTTCTTTACAAGAATATCATGGGGCACCTTGTCAAATGCCTTGCTGAAATCAAGGTAGGCTACATCCACTGCGTTCCCTTCATCTACCAGGCTTGTAATTCTGTCAAAAAACGAGATCAGGTTAGTCTGACATGACTTATTTTTCAGAAATCCATGCTGACTATTGGTGATCACAGCATTCCTTTCTAGGTGCTCACAGTTTGCTTAATGATCTGCTCCAGAATCTTCCCTGGTATTGATGTCAGACTGACTGGGCGGTAATTATTTGGGTCCTCTCTTTCCCCCTTTTTGAAAATAGGGACAACATTTGCCCTCCTCCACCTCTCCTGGTACGCCCCACGGAGGACCTTACGGTCTACAAATAATAACAGCTTGGAGATCCTGGGTCTCAGAAATTAGGCTGGCCTCGACTAGGCCAAGGGCTTTTTGGCCGTGGCCCCAGCCTGGTAGAACGCTCTGCCACAAGAGGCCAGGGCCCTGTGGGATCTGACATCTTTCCGCAGGGTCTTTGGTCAGGGCTCAACCTGACTCCCCTTCTCTCTTTGTATAAGAACTAGTATGAAAGAAGCCTCCCAGCATTCTCACAGGCCCATATAAGAACAGCGTAAACAGTTGGGCCTGATGAGCATTTACTGTTCCCAACCCTAATCCTGAGGAAAGCCACCTAATTAGATTTTAATTTGATCCTGACTTGTTTTTAGGAGGTAATTTAATTATTGTTTGATTTTATACCAATGTTATATATTTGATGTTAGCTGCCCTGAGCCCAGTCTCAGCTGGGGAGGGCAGGATACAAATAAAAGTTGTTGTTGTTGTTGTTGTTGTTGTTGTTGTTATCACCCCTGCCTTCCCCAAGAGACAGAAACTAACAGGAGCAAAATGGAAAGCTTCTTTGGGGCAACCCAGCCAGGTGGGCGCGGTATGAAGAGGTTGGGGAGGGTGTTTTGCACTGGGACTGCTTCACCTCCCTTCAGGGTCAGGTTTCTTCTTGCAAGCAAATTTTAAGTGGTTGTTTAGCTGCTTCGCTCCACTCCAAGGCTGGTGTGCTACCTGGGCGCTCTGGGGAAGCCTGGCACCCCCCTCGAAACCAGCCAAGGCTTTGCCTCTGGGATGCCAGTGGGGCAGGGAGAAGAGAACCACTTGCTATTTTGGGATCCCCAGAGTGGTGCTGCTCTCTGCTGCCATCCATGCTGCCTCTTTGCAGTGGGAAGGAGATCTTCGTTTGTCTGCCTGGTCTGTGGCTCTGAGATTGGGAGGTGGCAGTGGTTGCTACAGAGAGGAGGGCTGGCTCAGGGCCCAAAGTTCTGTTGTTTCCAGAAACATCTAATTGATGAGGCCATAAAGCAACATTATGTTTCCCTGACACAACAGTGATGCTCCTTCCCATGGTATTAATTGTCAATAAAAGTTAAATGAGGCTGCCAGCTGAGACTGAGTGGCACTCGGGCACTTACGAGGCTTGTGCCATGCCGTGCTCCGGCTCTTGAGCCCACCCAGCTCATGGTGGTTCGTGGCGGCTGTGATAATGCACCGCTTTAATTCAAGACGTCCCAGCTGACTGTGGAGGCAAGCAAAGAGTCAGTCAAGAGCAGGAAGGGCCTCCCAACCCGGGACACCCTCGGGATCCAAGGCTCCTGAATGTTGGAAGGGCAGAAGCAAGATGCAAGAAGGCAGGTGGGCAGCTGGAGAAGCCTCCTTGGCTTCTGTTCTCCTACGCCTTGAGTTATACTAATTTTTTTTGGGGGGGGGTAGATGCACCTTCTTAGATTTAGCGAAGGTCAGGAATAACTCAATAGTTGAGGTATTAAGGGAAGCTGCCATAGAAGCAGGGACAGAATTCTACGTGAGCTGGGGATAACAGGCTGGAACAAAGAGTCGCCAAGGATGACTTTTTGCTGTGCTTGGAAACCAGTGTTGCTCTCCTGCAGGAAGCAAGCCGCTCTGGATAGGCGAATGCTCTGAACTCTCACCACCTAGACACAGGTTGTAAATACATGTAAAGAAACCGTATCTCTTAAAGAAACCGCAGTCTCCAAGGTGGCTAATTTCTGAAAGACACACAACCCTGGCTGAGTGCCAAGTGAGATTTTGCCTAGCTTCAGGGTGCCATGGTAGGCACAGCAAGGAGGGTCAGCGAATGCTGGAGTCTGCAGGCAGATACCTCCCTCTCAATCCTGCCTCTCCCCATCAGTTCTGGGGGCCACTGCAGTTAAGCCATGCAGTTCCCACGAAAGGTGTGTGTGTCACCATGTTCAACAGCACACGTGCTGGTCAGGCAAAAGAGAGAGAGAAGTGGGACTGCAGCCCTCACCTCCCCAGACTTCAATGTGCAAATCTTCGCCCTGTGGCCAGATGGTGGGCCTGCTGGTGCTGATTCTAATAACTCCCAAATGGGAGCAAAGAAATGCTCTCTGCATTAGCTCAGAGGCACTTTATTCTAGGCTTGAGCCCTGGCATCTGAAACAGGCTGTGGAACCCATTTGTGACTCAGATTAAGCACCAGGATGCTACGTAGGGCAAAAGTTCCCGGTCATCCCAGAGGTGTCCGTGTGGAACTGTGCAGCAATTGCTCTCCCCTACCTGCTTGTGTTTCTTTGAGGGAATTCCCCCCCCCCTTTCTCTTGGTCCTTCCTGGAAAGCTGTGCTGGGACAGCACCAGTTGATCACCAGCCAAGAGCCTCTCCACAGATTCACCAGGAGGCATCAACATCTTCCCATTAGGAAGAGGTGACAAAACAGCCCATTTGGGGGTGATTAATTGGCAAGTTAAATTAATCATGAGCCTCAGTCTGTCTGCATCTGTGACATGAGATATTAACTGTTCCAACAGCCGCATGAAGAAGACCAGAGACCATTACAAAGTGCATTTGTCAAAAAGTCGCTTCCTTGCCTATTGTGGTGGCTGCTGAAAGGTCAAGTGACTTTGTTATTCTTAAGTAGAGAGCAGAGCAAAAACTCTAATGCCTGCAATGCATTTAATGTGCCAGTTAAGAGGTGGTAATCATCATCAGCTGGCTGGGTCCCCACCAGTGGGCTGCTTCACTGCAATGGCAGCCCCCAAATGTACCCCATCCAAAGCAGCAGCATTGCAGGGGAAGGAGGGGCAAAAGCATTCCATGTGGATTTTATGGAGCACTGACCACTGGGGGTGGAAGAGGAAGCGAGACAAGACCAAGGGGGCTTCTGTGCCTTAGTTGGCTTCCCCTGACCTTGTGGATGTGACTGACAAGGTGCGTCATGTGGGTGTCCCCGTCAAGGAGGAGGAATCTGCTGCTTTCCCGTCCATTTCTTTGAAGCCTCACCTGGAAATGGGGCCGCTCTCTTGCTGCCATATGCCAAAGCCAACCTCCCCCCTTGGCCCGCCAGGCCAGCCGCCACGTCTCTCCACAGAGCCTGCTTCTTCCTCCGGGCTTCTCCTACCGTGTGACATCCTAGAGGAGCTCTGCACCTCACTGCAAAGCATCTTTGAACCAGGTATTGAATCCCATAATCCATTTCCCTTTTTTAAACAGTTTTTATTAGCTTTTCAAATTTTACAAATTCTTTTAAACAACCAGCAGTTGCTATATTACTTGTATTTTGCCAATTATGTACGTTAATAATTATAAATTATTAAGCTGCAATTCTTATCTGCTGCTGTACTTCAAATCCTGCATATGTTTTAACATAACCATGATATTTTTTGAAATATTCCACAAAATATTTCCATTCTTCAAGAAATTTTTCTTCATTCGGTTCTCCAATTCTCACAGATGGTCTAGCCACCTCAGCATATTCCATCATCTTCATGAACAATTCTTCTTTGGCTGGGAATTCTTCTTTCCATTTTTGCATGTAGACTATTCCTGCCACTAACATAGTATACATAAACAAAGCTCTGGTCCAGTTATACCTAGCAGAAAGGCCTCAGGTTTCTGGGGAATCATCACTTTAAACTTCTTTTTTAACCATTATAAATCATTTCCCAATAACCTTTTGCCTTTCTGCAGGTCCACTGCCCCCATAACCTCTTTTCAGAGCCTGGGTTCAGGCACTTTGCTGCCAACCATGCGCTGGCCCTGGCAAATCCAATACTTTCACCCTTGCCCACACAGCCTGCCAGCCAAACCCCGCCCCAGTTACAACCCCAGCACTTTGACCAGTCCTCCAGGCCAAAGGCCACTTTGTTCAGCCTCCAGGGTGTCTCTGCTTCCGCAAAAGGAGAAAAGGTTGAAGCTGGCCACCTTGTTCCACCCTGTTGGTACCTCTGCTGCATCCAGAAACAAACTTGGACATGCTATTTACCATGTTAATCTCCAATGGAGTTGTTTTAATTTCTTTAAATTACTGCTGGCAAAATTGGAATGGTCAACAATCCATCAGTCTGCTTCCCCACCCCTTGGCCACCCAGTGCCAGGTGCAGTCTGCCACTGCTGCTGCTGCTGCTGCAGTGGAAGCAGTGAGATCTTGAGGAACTTTCAGAGGCCCACAAATTAACTGCAAATGCACATGTGCAGCAGCCCAGGAAGCAGAACGCAGCAGCTGCTGCTGCTCCCGCTGCTGCCAGGGAGCCCCCCAGTGCAAAATGCCCCTCTCTTTTCTCCAGGCAGGAGTGGGCCTCAGAAAGACCCCACTTGGAATCTGCATAAGATGGATCTTCTTTGCTAAAGGGTTGCTGAGATGCTGCTTCCTCTGGTGCTTCTGCACTTCACACTGGGTGGGTCAGCTTGATGCTGCTTGGCAAACAGCTGTATTCACACCCCCCACCGAAAAATCACTTTACTGCAATAGCCATTTTAGAAGTTACTACATTTTACACGACCCAAGCTTTAAGCTTCCAGACTTGGGGTGTGTGTGTGTGGTGCCACCCTTGTGGACTGGGCAGGGTATTGAATCAACTGTGGCATGCTGAGGATGAGCACAAATGATTCTGGATTAAGAAAACGTTCATTTTTGAACTACAAACAGGCTAGCGTATACCCAGCCCACATTGTGTTTTGGACTGCCCTGACTGGCTGCTCCCATGCAGGGACGGGGCTTCTTCTCTGCTGGAAGCAGCAAGAGGCCATTGGGCAGCTGCAGAGGCCCTTTGGAGACTGGGCTGCCTTGGCAGGGGCTAACCCTGCCTGCTTGGTGCTGCTGGCCTGGCCCCATCCTGGCCTCAAGGTGGTGCAGGATTTGGCTGGAGATCCTGGCTGAGACGTGGTCAGAAGGGCCACCATGGAAACCCCAGCCCAGTAAGACCCCAGAGAGTATGACTCTTGCTCTTTGCCATCCCTGAGTTATGGAGCTCCGGCACTCATAAAAGATAATCACCCTTCACGGGTGAAGTAGCCTCCATTTATACCACCCTGGCGGAAGGATTGATGGAGTGTGCAATTAAAAGCACAAGATCTGTGGCTGTCTTGGGGGCTTGGCAAGATTTATCATCAAAGGACATTTTCGCAGCACTTGAAATCCTGGAGCATGGCCAGTGGGAGTTTCCGTCCGCCTTGGTCAGGGCTGGATCCTCTTGGAATCTGCTCATCTAGGACAGTGGGGGGGGGGAGGTGGAGAAGCTGCCCCATGTTCTGGGGAACGATTGCCAGGAGTCGAGATGCTGGGGAAGGTTTGGCTGGAAGGCACCCAAGAGACCTCAGGGAAGTTGGCCAGAAATGCCCCCCCTTCTCATCTGAACTGTTGTCACACATGGGAAGCACACACACACCGTGAGACGGAGCTTGCTTCTGCTCCAACGAAGGAGCTGAGATGGGGCCACGGATGGCTTCACCGAGTCCTATAGCATCCAGCAGCGCCATTCCTTGCTCTGTGTGTTTCCCACGTCCCCTCCAAATGGGCTCTCGGGGGTCAGGAGAGCCCCAGAACAGCAACACCAGAGAAGAGAGGATTCTGCTGAGCAAAACAGTGGAGGGTAATGATTTGGCAAGGGCAGCATCTAGATTCTCCTCAAAGAAAGAGTGAGCAAAGGATTCCATTGAAGAGGTCCGGTGTGGAAACAGCCTCTCTGGTGGGGCCTTCTTGCCTGCGGGGTTCCCTTCCACCGCATGGGGCAGGCCTTTAAAGGTATGTGCTGGTCTGGATGGGGCAAGGCGCTCTTTATGGGATGCATCCCTGCTGTGTGTTGCCCCCTCTCCTGGATTAGTACTTCCCAACCCATCAGAAGCATGCAAGCATGTGTTTATTTGTGAGAAAGCAGCTTTAAATCCCTGCCCCCCGTTTCAAATATATGTTTTCCAATGTTCCAGATTTGCACAAAACAGCAGTAAAAAATATGGTATGAGATGTGTGTGTCCTTCAAAGCCAGCCAAGGATTTGGAGTTGCTCACGTGAATGGCTGCCCCTTCCTTCCCCTTTGCCCTCCCTGCCTCCTGTATCTGCCAGGGCAGTTTATTTTTAATACAACTGTTTTGTGTAAGACCTGTTCATTGCAAAAGAAGAGTTTCATTTCATTCAAAAATAAAATACCAGGGACCTGCTGACGGAAGAAAAGTGGAAGGAAGGAGTGTGGTGGTGACAATGGGTTGTGTCCCCAGAACCTGCCCCCACAAAACGCTCCAGGGCTGCCCCCACTGCCAGATAACTGGCGGTTTTCTTTCTTTCCCATCTTCAGATTTGGTTTGGGAGCAAGATGGACACGGTTGTGCCAACTGATAATTGTGAAGCAGCTCAAGCTGGAGAAAAAGGGTCCCCCCCCCCGCTATGTTGGGGTGGGCAGGCGGGGGATTTGGAAAGTCATGCCAGGCACTTCCGCCCAGGCCTCCTGCCGTATGTGTCCTGGCCCTGAATGTTTGGCCCCCACCTCACCGGGGAATAATGCACTGCATCCAGGGATTGCAGGGTGGGGCCGTTTGCAGAGACCTCCTGTCTCCCCAAGGAAGTTGTCAGATTGATGGGCACTTTCTATCAGTATTTTGTTTCTGAAAGAAAGGGCTTGTGAGAACTCAAGCTTGTGAGAAGGGCTGAGAACCCATGCTGGTCCGGAAGTCAGTCACACCCTCTGACATAAAAGCCAACTCCCACCAGCCTGCAGGGCTGTGGTGATGGAAAAGGCACTCTGCACATGTTCAGAGCACTTTGGTGTTTTATTCCACAAGTCACGCAGCTGAGCTCTAGCACCAAAAAGGAATTTTGTAAGTCTGATTTCAAATGAAGCCAGGGCTTAGTTGGTCACCTTCATGTTCCCAAAGTGAGAAGGCTATCGAGGGTGACCCTGAATGGGTGCCCTGAACTGAGGAGCGCAGGAGCCATGCCTCTGGGAAGAAACATCCCTTGCTGCCTTGCTTCCTGCCAGCATCTTGCCCTGCCTCGCCCCCTTCCCCCTCTTTCAGCTGACAGGCTGGTGACCGGCCTTCTGAGCTGCTCCTGCCTCCGCTGCCAATGCTGCCTTCACCTTCCCAGCACAGCTCAAAACATGGGATCCAAGTCACTGTGTGCGCCCCATACTGCTTCCCAACTGCTCTCTCAACCTTCACCCAGGGGAGACACATGGGGAGGAGGAATGCCCTCCTGGCCTGCCCTGGCTCTGGGCAGATCAAGTGCCCAGGGAGGACCCCCCTTGTGTGATGGGAAGGATGGGGGGGGCGGCTTCACAATGAGGCTTCCAGCTCAGCTAAGTGTCCTATCGCCCCCCTGGAAAGGAGCATCCATTAGGCAATTGCTTACATGCTAGGCCTTGGTCAGTAAGTGGAGAGACAGATTTTATGGCCCCATAAATCATAGAGTGTTCAATTAAACAAGTGCTTTAATTACCTCCGCTGCTCGCCACCCCCTGCCCCACCCTGCCCTGCCGCTAATGGCAGCCACCCACTGGGGAGGGGGCTCCTGGCCATTAGCAGCACGTGCGCCAGGGCAGTTTCTGGAGTGGGGTTTTTGGGGTCCCGCAAGCAGGAGTTGAGCCCAAGTCCTCTCCTGTCCTGTGGTTTCCATTCCTGACTTGGCTAGTAGCCATTAATAGCCCCCCATGAATTTGTCTAATCCTTTTTTAAAGCCATCCAGGTTGGTAGCCCCCGCCCCCGCCTCCCATGTGAGCAGGTCCATAGTTTAACTCTGTGCTGTGCAAATAAGTCCTTCCTTTTCTTTGTCCTGACTCTTCACATTCAGCTTCTCTGGGTGTGTGATGGGAAGGCAGAACAGCCTTTCTCTCTCCACCTTCTCCAGGCCACGTAACAAGCAAGTGAACAAGTGAGAGGGTCCTTCAGAGCTGTTCACCATGGGAGCCCAGAAAGGGCCTGGGCCAAGGAAGAGCCCCACAGGCAAGGGCTGGTCTTTGCTCTCCCGCCTGGGGGCTCCTCTCCTGTCTGTGTTGTGCAGAGAGGACTCCGTTCCGCCTTTGGACGCCAGCTCCTCTCCTTTTCTTTTTGGAAGGATTTAGCTGATGATTCACTGGGGCCTCATTTCTGGCTGCCTCAGACTTGGCCCCTTCTCCTCTCCAGAGAGCAGCTGTAGAGGAAAGGGCGGGGAGCGGGGCTAAGGATTCCACCTCCTCTCTGGCCTTCTCAGCTCCCTGCTGCAGTTCTCGATGATGCCGGGCTGCTTGGGTCAGAAAAGCGTCTGCTGGGGAGCCTCTGCATCCATGCCATCATCTCTCCAAAAGGACTCCACTGGCCAAGGCTGCGAGTGGCCAGCCAGCCAGCCTCTGGAGGCTGCAGTCCTTGTGGGCTCGGGGGCTTCCTTTGTGTGGACCCCAAGTGGGCTCCACTATTTGTCCCATTGTGCCCACATCCCATTCAAGGGGTAGGAACCCACAATGAACCCCAGCACTGTTGGGGACCCAGAAGAACCTGCTGTAGTCCTAAGGCAGCCTGAAGTACCTGGTGGCCCTGCCACACCCTAAGCCCAGCCTTGAGTTCCCCCACCTCAAGAGCAAGGGAGACAGCAGGACTATGGGAAGCCCAGAATCCACCTAGGACTGCTCAAGAAGGAAAGGGTCTACTTGGGAGGAGGGAAAAGCCAGCAAAGATACTCATTGCCTCTCTCCCCACCCCCACCCCCACCCCTCCCTCCCTCTATTATAGGGAAGGGATCCAAATTGCTTTGACTCCCTGGCTAGTGCTCAGGCTGGAGAGTTTCTTCCACAAGATAACTCTGAACTGGTGCATGGATTTTCCACTTCTGTGCAAAGTTCTGTTACAAATCTGGGGTAAGAGAGTTTGGGGCTGCAAAGGCAGCCATAACTGCTAGAGCTGGTGAATGTTAGAAATCAATAAATGGTAGAATTGAGATAATATTTGGAGTAAGGAAGGGAGGATGCAGACCAGTGAAAATACAGGCTGAAACAGTTAAGTGATGCCATTAAGAACCAAGGAGAACTAAGTGCTGGGCCACTAAAGAACAATTGACCCTTTGCCTGAGTTGGGAGGGGGAGGTTACAAGAGGTGTGATGTCACACAGGAAAAACATGCCCTTTTGAAATTTAGAGGTTGGGGAAGAAGGGGGAGGACTCCACAAGCTGTTGTGAAGGCCAAAGCCATCTTGGCAGGCTGGCCGAAAGCAGCTGGAAGAAAGACTCAGTGATGTCTGGGAATGCAATGCTGGATTCTCCTCCTGAGATGTGAATGCTGTGAAATCTCTCTCTGTTCAAAGCTTCTGGTGTAAATGTGTGCAAATAAATCATATTTCAAAGAGTCCACCCCACCTCATTTTCCCCAGAGGAACACAGACCCTGGTGCCAAGACCCCCTGGGATCTCGTGCTCCGCTCGGCAGAGACTGGGGTAGCAGGAGCAGTTCTCAGACTGACATCCCCAGCAAGAGCCAGAAGGGGCTGCAGAAAGCCTCCCTTGGAGATTCAGGCTGCTGCCCCTTCTGGCTCTTGCTGGGGATGTCAGTCTTCTCCAGAAATGCCCCCTTTGTGCCACACTCATTGTTCTGGGGGGTTAGGGTTAGCAGAGGGTCCCTCCCGTCCCTCCTGTCTGCTGACGCTTCTCCTCTTGAAGGTTTTAGCAACTGACATGTGACGGGATCAGAATGTTCCATCTTGAGTTAAAACAATACCTTTTGAAGGCCGAGGCTTTCCTGTTTGTTCGGCTGCGCGCCAGGAGGATCCCAGCTGCCCCAGTAAAGGAGACAACTGCCTGGCTGCGGCTCCAGGTTGGGGGGTGTACCAGCTCTCCAAAGCACCTGGCTCCCTGAGAGGCTCAGTGGCACATCCCAGCTGCACCGTTCCACTGCCCCCTTGAAGGATCTAGGGCTGGTGGAGCCCAGGGAGGGGGCAGGATGGTGCTGGGAGGAAAACCTATGGACCTCTTGGGCCAAGGGCAAGGGAACTCCCTCTCCACTCACATCCCCTTGGCTCTCCCCCAGGCAGGTCCACCCGCTCGTTCACGGCATAGATATCATTTTGGAGATGGGCTGTCTGAGGAAAGGAAACGGCAAAGAATGAATGGGCTGCCCCACAGGGAATTCTGTAAAGCAGGATATTCTCAGCTGGCAGAAGGACCTGAGAGGAGGCTGGAGGAAGCTGCCTGCACCCTGGCTCCCATCTCTAGACCAGACATCCGAGACATTGTGGGCTCCCCCTGTGTGCTTGTCTGAACTCTGGCTGAGCCTAAAATACATGACAGGAGACAGCATGTAGAAGATCCTCCCCAGAGGAAGAAAAATGTGCCCTGATCTCCTTCTATCTTCGTGGTCCACAAACACTCCCCAAAGAGGCAGACCTGAAGATTTAGGGCCAACCAAAAAGGCCAGGCGATCTCAGATGGGCTCCAGTTTCTCTTGCAAGAAGCCAGAAAATTCTTTCTGTCCTTTGGAGCATTTTTTGTTTTGTTTCTCTCTTGCCTCCCCACTCCATTAAAAAAAATTAGGTTTAGTTCCAGCTCTTAGTGGGTGGATTGGCTGAGGAGAGAGAGAGAGAGAGAGAGAGAGAGAGAGAGAGAGAGAGAGAGGTGTCTCTGCTCTGCCATTCACTTTCCAGGCCAAGCAGAGTCCCTCCCTCCATTACTGGCTTAAGGCCTCCTGGGGCAATTTGGGGAGCATCAAAGCCACACAGCTGTTTGGACCCCCCTGAAATATACAGTCAAAACATTCTTTTACCACTATCATATGGAGTGGGTGGGTGGGTGGGGGCACTCCCCATTTGAGGCTATTTTAGCATTCAGTTCAATTTTTATCATTTTAAGGTTCACGCGTTTCTAATTGTTATGAATACCATGGTAAAATTAATAGTTCTATGGTTGATTTATTACATTTAGTAAAATTATGGGCATGTAATGTTTGCCAAGAAAAGACACTGCACAGACTTTAATCATGTAAAGATGATAATTTAGTTGTTACACTTGTTGAAATGATGGGATTAATTTTTTAAAAGTTTGCAAACTAAGGGAGGAAGAGGGGGAAATGTTAATTTAGCGAGACAAGCAAAATGAGGAGAGGAGGAGGAGAGGCAACTGGCCACCAGCTCTTCCCCAGGGACGCAGCAGCAGCAGGAAGTGGTTGGGGCAGCTCTGGAAGCCCAGGTTTTGTGCCAAGCGCATGCTCTGTCGCTGAGCTCTGGCTGTTGGGCAGGGCTTCCCATATTGCTTGCTGCATTGACGGGATCACCTGGTTTGTGGTGCTGCGCTGCCTGTCTCCATGGCCCTATGGGGATGTGCCTCCCCACAGAGAGAGGGCAAGAAACCAGGGACGAGCCCCCTTTTTTGCAAAACATGAAATTTGGCATTTTGCTGGCATCAGATGCTGAGGCCGTGCCTCTCTTCTGGGCTGGGGTAAGGAAGGGGGTTGGGACTGTTTGGAAGCAGGCTTCTCAGGAATTAAAAGTACAGACATCTCCTGCCCCAGTTGCTGACAATAAGGCAAGCGATTGCACTGGTTGCTGAGATACCCCCTGCCCCTGTCACACCAAGTTCAGATACCTAGGGGTACAAATAACCAGAAACCTCAATAAATTGCACCTCCACAACTACAAGCCCCTGTGGCGACAAATTAACAAAGACCTAAAGAGATGGAATAACATGAATTTCACTCTCTCAGACAAAATAGCCATGATCAAAATGATCACACTCCCAAAACTAACCTACCTATTCCAAACCCTCCCAATCTGGATCCCCTCAACCCAACTCCACAGTTGGCAGAGAAAACTACACTCTTTTATCTTCTCACATAAAAAACCAAGAATAAGCCCCAAATACCTGCACCTCCCCACCTCAGAAGGAGGATGGGGAATCCCCAACATAGAAGCATATTACATTGCCAACCAAATACGCCATATAATCCCATATATACTCGAAGATGAGACAAAACAATGGGTACACCTAGAGAGGGACACAATTGAAAATACCTGCACCACAACATACCCACTCCTCCCAAACAAACTAAAGAAAATTCCCACAACACTCAGCAGGTACACACAGACCATGCTCAAAGCATGGAAAACACAAATAGGCAAACTATCCCCAACCCCATCCCCACTAATCCCCCTGGTGTACCACCCATTATTCCACCATGCAGCACAAAACCTCCAGATAAAAACCTGGCGAACCAAAGGCTTATATCGCCTAATAGACTTTTATAAAAATAACAAACCTTTGTCAACACAGGAAATACAAGACAAACTAGAAGACACCCAAATGCCCTGGTTAACACAACACCAACTACATGCCCTCTTAAACAACCCAACAGTAAAATTAGCAGCAACTAGGCCCCTGACAACCTTCGAAAACCTCCTCCTAACAACAAAGGGAAACGGTAATGGGACGGTATCCGCAATATACAAAATACTACTCCAAAATCCCACAAACCCCTAGACGCAATCAAAAACAATGGGAGAATGACATAGGCTATGAGATTAACCCCACTCAATGGACCAGAATGTGGTCTAAACCCC